AGGCAGAAGTGTGTGTGGGGGGAGGGAGGCTACTGGAGCAGCCTCTGTCTGCAGTGGGCCCAGGCTCACCGTGGACATAGGCTGCTCCATGGGAGGCGGAGCAGCCTCTGTCCGTAGGGAGCTTGGACCCTCTGCAGACAGAGGCTGCTGCCAGAGAAGCTTCTATCTGCAGCCAGGCAAGGCCACTGGTGAGAAAGGCTGTTTCGCAGCAGCCTCCCCTGCTCCTTCCTCCCAGCAGCTTCTGTCCGTGAGGAGCTCGGACTGCCAGCAGACAGGGGCTACTGCCACCTTGTTCTGCTGCCTCTGTATCAGAGTCAACAGTGTGGGGCAGAAGGCAGCTGGTCTGGTGGGGAGCTGTTTTTTAAACTGGCTCCCCTCTCAGACTATATCCGGCCTGGCATCTACAGAGGCAGTAGCATGAGGCGGCAGGGGGTCCCCCAAGAATGGGGGCAGAGCACACTGGCTGCTAGTCTTGCCCCCGGCAACTATACAATAGTCAACTAACCACTAAGAATTCATGCAGTTAGTCGACTATTCTATTACCCACTAACATTCCTAGTTTCCAGATGTTTTCATGTATCTCTTGGGGTGGGGTGCAGTTTGTGAAACCAGCTGAAGACAACCACTGTTTGTTTCCCACTTCTTAAACCGCTCCCCTGTTCCTATCCCTATTCTGACCCTGCACCCCATTCTGCTTAATAACTCTTGGAGTCTTTTTTTTTTTTTTGCTTAACAATGTTGGTTTCCCCCCTTTTTTTCCCCCTCAATAGAATTTTTCCCCTGGTGCTTTTTTTTGGGAATAGAATTTTTCCCCTGGTGCTTTTTTTGGGAGGGAGGGGGGCTGTTCGCTATTTTTGGTTAAACCATCTGGCAACCCTACGTGTAAAGGGAACCCTGGCTGATGATCAGTCAGGCTCAGTGGCACCCCAGGGTAACACATCACAGCAATGGGCCACATTTGTGTTTCCTCCGATAGAGCTCAGTAGAGGGTCAAGGCCTTGCACTACCTCCTATCTGAAACAGAATCATATGGGCTACAATATTTTTAGGCTAGTATTGTCCTTGCTGGAGCAATAGGTTTTGACAGAAAAACCCCAAATTATGTGACCGAGATAGGGACGTATGGCCCTTTAACGCTAACAAAGAAAGGCCAGACTTGGTGTAAATCACAGTATCAGTCTCACTGGGGTAAGAAGGTATTTTAGTGTCTAATGAAACCTACAGAAACTAGGGAGAATGATTTTTCCTTGGGTTAGAAAAGTATCTTCTAGTGAACTCTAAATGCCCATATTTATAGTCTAGACACACCCTAAATGCCCATTTTTGAAGGCTTTAAAGCCACTAAAGGCTTTAGCCCTGACACCTCATCATTTTCTGCTCTGTATCTCACCTCCAAGCATATATAGGTGTAGTTACACACACAGAGTGCCATACCCTGAGCTGGTGTCAACTGATGCCACTCCATCAAAGTCAGCAGAGCTATGCTCATTTTCATGAGTGGAGGATCTGGCCCAGTTATTTTAGTCTCCCTCTGCACCCCCACTTCCTGTCAGCCTGAGACAGGCAAGTACAGTCAGTACATCAAATGGTTTTATTTCACTTAAGGGGTAGCGTTAATAGAATTACATGTAATACTATAACTAATTTCCACTCTGCCTCAGTGTTCATTTTGCAAGCATCTGATTTTAATCTAATCAAAAACTCTAGTGCCATTTACATTATTACAACTTAACTGCACTGTGATTGGAACAATCACGCTGGGAGGCCTAACCATCACTGCAGAAGGGAAGCTTCTAACTGGTAAGGACTGAAAAATAATCAGACATGTGCTGGAGCAGAACTGAGGAGCCCAGGCAAATCTATGCTGGGCTCTGGGCTTGGAAGTGTACCAGCGCTGGATTCAGGTACACTGACACTGCTGTGTGCAGAGCCAGGAATACATTTGCAGGCACACTGCATAAGAACATATGAACGGCCACACTGGGTCAGACCAAAGGTCCATCTAGCCCAGTATCCTGTCTTCTGACAGCAGCCGCAGATCCAGACAGAAGTGAATTTCCACAACTATGGGGGAGTCCCAGAGAACTGTTTCATAATAGGACTGAAGTGTGTTGGCAGAGCTGTTCATGGACCCATTGACAGGGGCTGATTTTCAGAGATGTGGAACAGCAGAGTTGGCCCTACTTTAAGCAGGGCTTGGACTAGATGACCTCCTGAGATCTTTTCCTACCCTAATCTTCTATGATTCTCGCTTACAGCTCCCACTGTCTTCAGCTAGAGTTGTGGGTACTCGCATTTCTAAAAACCCAGCCCAGACCAGAATGAGGATCCAGAACCACAACTGAAGATTGGGGCTAGTAAGCACTGACCAGTGTTACAGGGCTGAGTGAGGGAGACAGGGCTAGAGTAGGAGGACATGTACATAGTCTATGGTGCACTGTGGGAATTCAGAGAAAGTGTGCATAACACGCCTGAACTCTGACTATACCCACTGCTATCAATGTGCTTCTTGTACTAACAGAGTGGATGCCCTAGTAAGTTAAGTCCAAATGGAAGGACTGCATCTCTATACTCTGCGTATCCCTAGAAGCAGAGGACAGGCACCACTCAGTAACTGCCCTGTTCGGTTCATTCCTGTGGTGGGGTCCCTGGATTGCAGCCTGGGACTGTGGGACCACTGCGCCCCCTTAACTCTCTGGCCTGGGCTCTCTCTTACAATGCTAGTGACAGGCAGCGAACCCCTCCAGGCACTGCGATCATTCAGCATAGCAGGATGTAGAGTCCCGCGTCCAGCCAGATTGCACGAATGCTCCCAGAACCGCTTCTGAATCTCTCAGAGGATGGCACCAGCCAAATCCTCCAAGTTTCCACCACTGTAGTTCAGAAATAAAACGTCTTGCACTGCTTAAGATGAGCAGTGGACAGATATCAATTAGTCCACCCCTTCTGCGCTGATTAGGTTTCAGCTGGTGTGTTGTGTCCAGTGCTGGGCCCCACATTTCAAGAAAGACGTGGAAACATTGAAGAAGGGCCAGAGAAGAGCAACAAGAATGATGAAAGGTCTAGAGAACATGAGCTATGAGGAAGACGGAAAGAATCGGGCTTGTTTAGTTTAGAAGAGAGATATGATAGTGAATTCCAAGTGTCTAAAAGGGTGTCACAAGGAGGAGGAGGGAGAAAAAATGTTCCCCTTGGCCTCTGATGATAGGACACCCTCCTAGGGAAATAGTTTTTCCTAATATCCAACCTAGACCTCCCCCACTGTAACTTGAGACCATTGCTCCTTCTTCTGCCATCCGTCACAATGTAGGGCTGCAGCATCAAAATCGCCCTTTTAATAAACTATATCTATCAATATGATATTATGAATGTAACCTCACAAATTGTAGCCCAACTTTTATGCATGGGATTTGAATTACCGGTAATTTGTTAGTTACCTTTTAAAATTGCCTTTGGAGAATCTGTTGTAACTTTTTAAACCTTTTTTTTTTTTAAGTATTTTGCAACAAACCCCATTTTACCAATATTAAACTTAAAAAAACAACAACAAATAATCTTGCAGAACCTTGGAGACTAACAAAAATGTAGAAGATGTCATGAGCTTTTCTGGGCACAACCCACTTTTTCATCTGAAGAAGTGTGTTGTGCCCACAAAAGCTCATGATATCATCTACATTTTTGTTAGTCTCTAAGGTGCTGCAAGACTATTTGTTGTTTTTTTAAGTTTATTCAGTTACAGACTAACACAGCTACCCTTCTGAAACTTTTTAACCATATTGTAACTGAAACCCCATTTTAAAATTTGTACTGCCTTAACTGCTTAAAGTTAGGTGTGTGTCTATGTAAAAGTAAGAGAGAGAGAGAGAGAGAGAGAGAGAGAGAGTGTGTGTGTGTGTGTGTGTGTGTGTGTGTGTGTGTGTGTGTGTGTGTGTGTGTGTGTAGAGATATATATTAAAAAAAAGGAATCAGTCCCCTGAAGCCAGCATGTCTGGAGATCAGCTGCCGGCACCACCTTGATGGCTGAAGAACAATGCAAGTGAGCCCAGCAAAAGAACCCTCACAAGAAAGAGATAAACAAAAGCTCCATCAAGTTAAAAAGATTAAAGTCTCATCTGTTGTTAACTGATGACTGATGGTCATCCAGCATCCTGGGGCAGTGGGACAGCAGAAGATCTATAAACTAAAACGTATAAAAAGATGGTTGTAGAACTACAGAATTGGGTCTTGTCTTGTCAACATTGGAGCATCTGTCCAGACCGAAAGAAGCCCAGATCCTCATTTCCCTTCCCCCATCTAACTCACCTTGCCAGTGATTTAAGACGAGCAACAAGTTGGTAACTAAGCAACAACAAGACAATGTGTGTGTGTGTGTATATGAATGCATGAGGGTAGTATATTAAATGCATATAATACAATAGTGATATGTTACCAATACATTTGGCATTTTGCCTGACCCCTCTGAAGATGATCCCATGCAATTCTTTAAATATAACACCAGTGTGACTGATCTTAAGCTCTTAAATTCACAGCATCCTGCTTCTTTCCAAAATCAGAACATAAAACTGTACTGAGTCTCTGCCTTATAGGACACTGGATTGGGCTTAGGAGAGCTGGGTTCCATTTCCACATATACCATAGGACAGATCACTTCCCAGCTTGGTGCCTCCATTTCTCCCCATCTGCAAAATATGGATCACAGGCCTGACCTCCTATCGTGAAATGGGCTATATGAGAGCTTCTCTTTGTGACTGACTACCACAGGGGGATTTCCTCCTGTTCCTAGCTGCCTTCCCTGAAGTATAAGAATGTTAATAATTGCCTACAGAGTTACACTTAAGAGGTCTGATTACTCCGTGCCAAGCCTTGGGGAATCATTAGCAACTGTACAGTGGGATGGTTCTGACCTGGTTGCATTGACACAGGTGTAAGTGACTGGAGAATCAGGCCATCTCATTGATATTCACCACTGACCACTATGCAGCTCTCCTCAGAGCCCATACCTTCATGGCCTGCATCCTCCGCATCTATTTCCATGGTCACCTTCTCCTCCCAGGTTGGAGAGTGAGTAGACTCAGCAGACACATGAGTCACTCCCTGGGCTTCCCGTTTCTTCTCAACATCCGAGCTGCTTTTGCTGAGAAAGAAGAAGAAAAAAAAATAACCACTTAACAACAGCAGAGGTGCCTCCGCCCTGACGTGCACAGAGCCTTGCAGTGAACTGAAGACAGAGGAATGAATGCCCTTTCCCTTCTTGCGCAAGCCAGAGACTTAATGACTTATCTTCGTATTGCTCTGTTCACTTCAAAGCATTGCCCAGCATATTACCGATTACAGGCCACACTTACACCTGGCATAACTCTACTAAAGTTAATGGATGAATTTGGCAGGATGTGTATATAAGGTTCTGTGACGGGACAGCCAGTCTCACCTCACTGCCCCGCACTCTCAGGAGCAGCGGGGGAACTGCGGGGGAGCCCGAGGCTGCTCCGACCGCAGCGGACGCGGCCATGGGGGTGGGGCCGCGGCCCGGACCGGCGTGCCTGGATGACGTCCCCCGTGATGTCACCCCGGGACTCCCGGGGAGCCGGATGACGCGGCTGGGGGCGGAGCCTGGAGGGGACGCTGAATGGCGGCCCTTTCAAAAGGGCCAAGAGGGACAGGTGGAGGGGGTGAAGCCGGAGGAGCCGAAAACCCCTGCGGGGGCTCGGAGGAGGCAGCGTGCAGTGAGTCTTTCACCACGATGGGGGGGTGAATTAATTCGGACCGGGGAGAGAAGGCCCAGGGCAGGGCCGTGGACCCCGTGAATGGAGGGTTAAGGGGTCTCAACCCCCTCCATTGTCAAGGGAGAGCTTCCCCTGCCTTAGGGCCCTGGGCTGGGACTCGGAGAGAGGGAGGGCCCGAGTCCCCTCCCCGGTCTCCCCGCACGACCCGCCTTGCAAAGGCTGGCCAGGGGTCCCTCGATACAAGGGGACCATATCGCCCCCTCCCGGACTTGGGGGGGGTGCGAGAGACTAATCAGTTACAGGTTCATTTCTTCAATCTGCAAAATGCAGTCACCTCTGAGATGGAGCACAACAACAGCGTAACAGTGCACAGCAACATTACACACGATGTAGGCAAAACAAGCAAAGAACTACTCTAAATGAAAACTGAGGGAGGATTTTAAATAATCTAGAATGCAATCCTAACCCAAGCCCTCCTACTCTTGCAATGAGAGCTCTGGGATATTGAATGACCACAAAAATCCAATGGATATGTGACACAGCATGAGAGACCTAGAACAACTGTTATAAATGTTTACCTGTTACAGTGTACACTAGAGATGTAATAGTGTAGTCGATTAACTGATAAATTCTTGTTAGGGCTGACAGCTTTATTCTTTTTATATTTGCATTTTAGGTTTGACAATATAGTATTATAGCAATACACACACACACACACACACATTTAATATTGTATTGAATTAAGTCCTTTTAGTTAAGTATATATCTCCTATAGTTCCTTGTTCTAAAGTTTTAGTAAGTAAAGAGACAGTGTTCCAGGCCTTTGATGCGAATTATTTTGATTCTGCTTAATATAAAACAGTATTGTTTACCTTTGAAGGATTCTGTGTGAGAGACTGTTTGTATGCATGAGATATAGATCTGTGTGAGAGACTGTTTGTATGAATGAGATATAGAGTGAAGCTCATCGTTAGAGCCAGATGGCCAGAGAAGGGGGAGAATGTGGGGTGAAGACAAACTGCAAAAGACAGACTGCAAAGAGCAGAGAAACCGTCAGTGCGTACCCACGGTCAAAGAATGAACCAAATCGGCAGATTGACAAACCTTGAAGCAGAGTGGGCACCCCGAAAAGGACGACTGATTACAGGATGAGCCTTGAAGAGATGTTTGGGAACGATTGACATCAACAAGATAACATGCCGGTCACAGGCTGACAGAGCGGGAGCCACTGATTTTAACAGAGAAGAAGGATTATATATAGCAGGGTGCTTTGCTATGGGTTTGGGTTTGTCTGCCACACTGTCTTGAGAGGAGTATCAGATTGATCGACCAACAAGGCCTTGTTCCCCCCATGCTCAATCTAGCTGACCACTAGATTGACACAGACTCTGGACTGGTAACTATATCATCTGGCAGAACTGTATATGCATGATGTTTTGTGTGCATGTGTGTGTTTGAAAAGCATATGCAACTGTTGTATTCTCAATAAATGCGGCATACTGCCTTTTCTCCCATAAAAGATCTCGTGTGCTTCGTTTAAGCATAACATTTTTATAGATTAATGCTACAGATTACACACATCCCATTCCTTCCCTCCCCCCACCAGTAAATTTAGCAGGCTGGCCAGCAGCCCAGCTCAGTCCTGGCTTACACGGGGTCCAGCCTGGCATCCCATGCTGCTGCCTCTGATACGGAGGCAGCACTGTGGAGTGGCAGGGGACACCTTAGAAATGAGGCCAGAGTGCACTGACTGCCGGCCCCACCTCTGGGAACTACAAAATAGTCGAGTAATCAATAAGAATTCATGAGACTAATCAACTATTCAATTAACCGATATTTAACATCCATTCGTCTGTTCAACGGGCAGTATCTATATCAGCATTGTGGTCCACCTCACTACTGCCCAGGTGTGAGACGTCCCTGAGCAATGTAGTGCAAGCGAGTGCTACAGGCGGAGGCCCCAAAACTACTTCCTGCTGGACTTTTCCAATTCTCCCAGTACTTCCGAGTGAGAGAGGAGTTTCATAAATATACTGGTCACATCTAACGAGACCAAAACAGATCTGAAGTTACAATGAACAAGCAAGTCCTGATTATAAACCACTCCAGGATTTCCCAGAGTTACTCAGGTCCTCAACTCCGCTAATATTATTATTTGGAAAATGAAACAAAAATGTTGATGCTTCATTTAAGCCATTGCTCTGGAAAGAAGGGGTCACGGTGCTGGCTACCCACTGTCGGCAACCCCAGCCCTCTGTCACCACAGCATCTTGAGACCAGGGATCTGTCCCTGGCGGCTGCAGCTGCTTCATCAATGCTGGCCTCTCTGCTGCTGCCAGAGTGGAGTCCCACAGCCAATGGCAGCAGAGGAGCCGGCATTGACCTTCCCTGGTAAAGCAGATTCCCCATTTCATGACCAGTCAGGCTCAGAGAGTGCCAGATCAGGGGGCACAACCCATGTTAGAATAATAAAAACAGAGATTTGTGAATCATTTGTATTTGAGGACTGAGTGGAAAATATGCTGGATAAATTGTTTCACAGTAATTCACAGTAATTTCCCCCCTGATATTTCAATACAGCAAGGTCATTGAGGGTACGTCTACACTACAGCGCTAATTCGAACTAACTTAGTTAGAATTAGTTAATTCGAACTAAGCTAATTCGAACTAACGGATCCAGACTAAAAAACTAGTTCAAATTAGCGTTTTGCTAATTCGAACTAGCATGTCCACATTAAGTGGACCCTGAACCGGGCTTAAGGATGGCCGGAAGCAGTGCCGGCAGGGCATCAGAGAAGAACTTAGAGTGTGGAGATGCTTTCTCAGGCTAGCAGAGGGCTGTGCTTAAAGGGACCCGACCCCCACCCCGGACAGACAGTTCTCAGGGGTGCCCGCTTGCAAAGCAGTCCTGGCTTGGAGTGCCCTGAGTGCCCACACAGAGCACATCACAGCACTTGGCCATCAGACTGGCTGCACTTGCCGCAGGCTGCTATCTGCGGAGAGGGGGCAATTGGGGCCTGCAGGAGAGGTTCCACCCCCAGAAGCCCGCAGAGCCAGCCCAGTCCTCCCCATCGGGGGCTCGTACCCCATTCCTCCCT